TTTCACGTGACAAGTGTCGACACGTTGACCACTGATGACGCCGCGCTGGCGTCACGTGTAGTTCTCAGTGTTCGCGTTGACGAGTTCTGAGGAAGAAATTTTAGTCGCAATGGAAGCCTTTCGATATTCTGTGTATCTCTACAGACTATGAACATGCATTCCGAACATTTTTAAATTCCAAATTCCGGATATCTTCGAATATCTCATAAATGTATAAATATCTGTAGTCTAGAGATTACTGAACTGCAAAGAGTTAATTATTCTAATCGTACTACAGAGCTTTCAAAAAGACTTTCATTTGGCGGGAGGTTTCACCGTCCCCTAAGCAGCCTCTAACTTACAGAGTAGAAGAACGAGCTTCTCTAAAATGGGAGTGACAACTTCCACGAAGAAAGGTTCATCCTTCACGATCGAAGTACTGTACGGATGTTGCATATGTTCGTCAAGACATTTCGTCGTCGCGTAGACACATGAATGAACACGCGTACAACCTCTCTATGCGACGTGGAAATGTCTAGGAGCTTAGATCGGTAAATTACACGGTAAAGTTAATAGTAAGAAAAAACGTCTACTTAAGAACCATGTACATAGAGTATTTTGCAGCGGTGATCTTGCAATGAAACTAACTTCCGTCATCGTGGAACGAGCGGTTCCGGCGTGTGACCAAGAGGAAGTTGGTTCCGGGATTTTCTTATATCTACGAGCGATCCAGCAAGATCGAGGATACGTGGACCGTAGAATTCGAACCAGCAGCGTATACGTTCGATATCCACGGTCCACGTTTTAAAGAGTGTCGTTTGGCATTTAAATATGGCGTTGTTAAGTGCTCGAGATTGCGAGAAATCTTCGCGAATATTTCGTTACAAGGAAAGTGTGCGATCGATGTAACCCGAGGATTCGATGTTCTACGTGAATTTTCTTGTTGAACGCGACTCGTTCAAGTGGGCAGTGTCGTTCAGAGTCGAACAGAATTTCATGAACGAATCTCCATGTACGCTCCTTGCTGCGAATGATCTAACACAGTTTGGAAGTCGTCGAGTACAGTAATATCTCGTGCAATATACTCTAACTTGTGCTTGCTTTGGAGAAATTAGTTAATCGAACTTATGATATCTTCATAATTTTATATAATAATATGATTAATTATAATAAACGTAGAAATAAGTGACTCATGCTCGAATCGATCGCACGTGTTCCTTTTTATACGACGGCTCATCCACGTGTTGGCGCAGGGCCATTTGTCATCATAGTCATTCTGTGTACTTAGTTGTTGTTCCTTGGTAGGCAGTTCACGTAAAAGACGGTGAAAATTCATAAGACACAAGCGGCTGAATGTTATATACACGTTCGCTAATTTCTGAACGAAGAGAGATTGTTCAGTGAAAGAGAAGCGTACGCCAGTGGGTCAACAAGGGAGGCACAATAATGAACGTTTTTTTTTTTAATATTAATACTGGTTAATGCAGACGATGATTTCAATCCTGTGTATTTATAATTAGGAACTGAACATCCGAGGTGAACTAAGGGTTTCACAGAAAAATTTCCTTGCAGAGTTTCAGGATTCCTCTCAAGCAACGATAAAACGTATAATAATCGATGCGCTTTCGAGAGTTAAGGATTAATTTCGGCGTGTGACACAACACGCGCGAATCTCGAAGGCGGATCGATGATAATAGTAGAAAAGACCTTGGTCACGATGGCATTTGATGGAAGAAATATCGCAGAAAAAAACAAAAAGAACGGTGGTAAACGATATATAATCAGTCGTGTTAGAAATCGATTGTCCAACGATTAACACAGCACATACGATGAAAATCATCGCTTCATTACAGTTCGTCTCATAATAAAAAAAAGAAAAAATAATAATAATACAAAGATAAAGCGAGTAATGAAATAAAAAAAGAAAACGAGAAACAAGGTAGGAAAAAAACGTCCAAGCGCTATCAAAACAAAAAAGAGAGTAACTGTAGACGGCAAAAAGAAAAAAAGAGTAGTATTGGATATAATGTAACGTTTTTCTCGTGATACGCACGATGTCTAAAAAATAATACTAAACGAAACGAATCGCACACATTGATCACACTACTTGCGGCTCGCCGAAGGATCCATTTAGCCTACCTCAGTCTGTGTATCAAACTTGGTCTTTAATTGATTTCGCCGTTCGCACGGTCCGTGGCACGCTCAAACAGGAACGCTACAAATTAGACATAGTCTCGCTTGCATCCGGATTTCTCTTTCTTTTTGAGTGTCCTTTTGTAACTGCGGGTGAGACTGTGGGTAGCCACGCTACTCAGCGCTACTTTTGTGCATGCCACGGCACTTGTTTCCTAATTTGTGTCCCTGAAAATCATTAGGAAAGCATCTTTTATACACTTTCTTAGTAGAAGGTTTAGCATTCTTACATTGATGTCGATTTAATATAAATTTAATATCGAGTATATCATAAATTTTGCTTTCTGTCATGATGCGAGTGACTAATACGATATACAGCGATTCGAAGTACTCAAACGCGTATAGAAAATATGCACGCAATACACATAGTACGTAAAAATATGTGAAGACCACATAGGAAAAATATGATAGATTCATTTTTCTAAATGTTTAGGAAGATGATAAAAATACATATAATGCCAAAGTTAAGAGAGAAGGTAGTTTTTATTGGTTCACAACATATATTGAATTTTAAAATTGCGCTTTCATAGAAGACAGGAAATGCGATTGATCATATTCTTTACCTGTGGCCTTCATATATATCCAAAGTAAAGTGCGTGTTTGTAAATTTCTATCTAGACTCGATTTCTTTAGTCATGATCAGAAAATTATGAATCTGCATGAACATTCATGGCGTACCAATTAGTATGGATTATTTGAAACGCACGTCTGTGAATATTGAAGTACTAAAAACTGCAGCACAACTCACCCTGGCCCAGGATAATAATAATAGGGAGGCGGTCGCTCGTATTCCGTGCTAAGCGGAGGAGGAGCGGCAGCAGCAGCTGGTTGGTATCCAGGAGGACCACCATTAGGGAAGTCACAATTTCTGAAAAAATACCTCTTCGATCAGCAAAACCACGCAGGAGAAATTCGAATAATGTAGCTTACTCTCTATTCTTCGTCAAACGTGTCGAATAACGAGCACAAAAAAAAAAGGAAAAATAAAAGATATTCTCGAAGAGAGTTATCTTTTGCCATAGCGTACGTATGCCTTAGCGAACAAACGAATGACGAAGCTGCTGAAGCGAAATCAAAGTAAATTTTATATACCGTGATTCTCCTGTGAAATAAAGAAAAGAAAAGTGACTCGAATTTGTAATAATACTTTTACGCATGCTCGTTTAAAAATCCTTGTATACGTATGTTTTATCGAACACGATTGGACTGATTGTGGCAATGGCGGTGTAGGTATAACACTGATACCACGCGAGTCACTTTATTCGATCATCACGATCACCAACAACCTGACACAATTTCTTTTTTTTTTTTTCTTTATTTATTCCTGCAAAAGCTCTAGCGAAGCTATTTGCTTGCGACGCAAACAAGTTGAACAAAAAGAACGAACTAAGGAAAACGAGAAGTACGGAGACACAATTGATAACAATCTGTCTTGCGACTTACGTGCAGAGGCGTATCGAGAGACGCGAGAAGTTGCCCCCCCGCAAGGTTCCCACTCACCTGGAAATAACCGGGAAAAAAAGCGTGACCAACGGGGTTCCATGAGATGTATGGACGGGATCAAGAATAACTTGCATGGTGTCAACAACATTCTGCACCTCACAACGATACTTTTATAGGTTTCTGTCTTTCTTTCCTTTTTTTTTTTCATTTCGATAACAGTATCATTATTTATGATATGGATCGGACCGCGCTGAATCTAACAAGATACGCTCGAACCCTTTACAAATACTCAACAAGAGTGAACGATATATTTTATTCGATAAAAGTAAAATTTATAGCAACATAAATGGATGAATAAAATTTATTTTATTCATTTATTTTAATTTACCAAAGTTATTGAATGAATCAAGTAGATACTTCTAATAATTTCTAAACTGTATAATTCCAAGTGATTCTAAGTGATTTTAAATACTCAATCTTTTACATTCATATGAAGCTACTTGACCCTTTCAAGATGTTCGATTCATCAATGATAAATACTGTACAAGGTAGATCATGCAATTCATACATCTTCGATGGTTGGTGGTAGAGCAATACGATGCGGGAAAAGACGAGATACTTTATCTATGAGTAGGTTATCATACAAAGTACAAGAGACGGGACATCGGTAAAATGTTTTCTTTGTCCGTTTCGATTTACAAGTAGGGAGAGAAATAGGGAATATACAATTCGAGTCGTACGTGGCTCGACAAGTACTTACAAACAACTACATTGGGACTATTGAAATTTGAAATATCGCCACTGACCTGAACAAGTATCGTGCGAGTTTCTATACAGAGAGCTTGATCCCATCCTCGAGTTAAATCGAGCGGTTCGGAAGAATCGATGAAAACAAAAAAGGTGAGAAAAAGAATTTCGCGCGATGAGTGGGAACCCTGCTCACCGATGTAGGGAAACGAGAAAAAGGAAACGAAAGAAAGAGAGATAAATGAAAGATCGGTGATGGTGAGAGATCAGGCGCCGAGATACAGGAACCGAGAGAACAATAAGTTTGTAAGTAAAATAAGAAGAAAATTGCGTAACGTGTCACAGAAAGCTGTGTTTAAGATTTTTGCTCGGTCCAAATTGGATGTTTTGCAAGACTTACTGCGTTTCTACGGATATGCTAAAGACTTTATTGTGAGGTTCTGTTTTGGAGGGGGCGGTATGTTCGTGGCTTCGCCACGTGGGGGTGGAACTGTAAAATAAACCAGAGATGAACTAGTGAACCGGAGAAATGAAAGGAGAAAATCGTCGATCTCAAACAAAAAGACACCTATTGAATCCAGAATCGTTCAAGAGCGTGGTAGCTCGCGATACTCGCGAGAAACAACCCCTAGAGGTTTCTGACAACCCCCAAGAACGCATTCTTCGCTTCGCTAGATATGGATAACACTAATAGACTTTTATTTTCTTTTCCATTCCATCTTCATTCAAATAATGCAAGATGACGATCCGAAATGAATAGAAAAAGAGAACCTTAAAGCGGCAGCACTATTCTTTCAAACAAGCGCCTGTCTTCGAAATATTCCCCGATAAAGCCGTAGACTGAACTTCGTTTTGGAACACAGCGTCTCTCTAAAGAACTCTAACGAATTCGGCCAATTTACCAGCTATTTTTAAAAAGCTTTACATGCTTGAACCTACCAGGTAAAATCAGAAAATGGACAGAAATATTTTTTGACTTAATAAACGTGTGTTTGGCTTCCATGAAATTCTCCTAATTCATCGCTTATTTTTAGAAGACTCGCGTCGTTGAACTTAACGGATAAAATTAAAAAACCAACAAAAATATACTTATCACGCTTTCCTGCTGTGATCCTCATACGATAAAGAAATAAATCACACATTCAGTGTGTTCCCAAAACGACGCTATGGTACAGCCAAGCTATCTCTCAATATAATTTTTTTCAAGGTGCTTTATCTCACGAAGGAGGAATAATGCTCTCGCTTCAAGAAGTTTACGACCGACAGATCCGAAGTGACTTGTTCCAACACTTACTTCGGCGCTACGTCAGAGTATCTGGAATAATGATGATAGTGGGACGTGCTCTGATGCGCTTCCGGGACTCTCTCTCGTTCGCTGTATCCACCTGCTGGACCATCGTAGCTTTCGTACTTTGCGTAAGGGTCTCTGCTGTGCGACACGTATTTCTTGTCGTGAACACTGCAAGGAAAATGAACGTTTCAGTAGAATAAATCACGGGTCTCCGGGGTACTCGTCATGCGAGTTAGAGAGTGTACTATTTTGCTAAGCTGTTTCTGCGTGTTACGTGTATCATTAATCTCCTAAGTAGCTTTGGTACACGAGACAAAGGGCTAGCTGCCACGCCACTAAACTCGTACATATGTTCCTGTGTGTATGTATGTATGCGCGTGTGTGTGTGCGTATGTGTTTGTGTGTAAGAAAGAAAAATTCCATTTTTCACACGACTAGTTAAAAGCTCCGAAAAACGCGAGAGCGTTAGTATATTAAGATACATTAAATGTTTAACACCTTCTTGACTGATTCACATAATATATTAGGGATGATAAAATGTTGAATCACTGACTTACATGTTTGTTTAGTCGACTGCAGATGTATATGCAAATTTTATATACTTCAATGTTTGTATATGCTTAATAATGTACATGCTTATATGCAAATTTCATTTGTGAATGCAATTGTAAAGATGGAAGTTAAGCAGAGGATACCTTTAATATCCTTTGGATAAGTTTTATGTGTATATTTATAATATCTAATGCACTTTGAATGTTGTATCTTTCTGAATATTTCATATATTCGTACTCTGGATATTTTATATATGTATTTTTGCATGTCATAAGTAATGTGTATTTCTACATCTGTTAATTTTCCTATAAATGCACAAACATGTTCAGTTTACATATTACGTAATATAATACATGTGATACAAGAAAGTCGAGAAGGTATCAAAGTTCAAGTAGCAGATGATTAACTATATATTTTAAAGATTTTATACCTATGTAATTGAAACGATATTGTGGGATCTGCATTTAGTGTCATACTGCGTATAGATCACAGAATTTTGTTGTTTTAACAATTGAGAGACTTTCTGGAAAAAGGATCCACAAGAGGGAATAACGAATTGAGTAAATTGTATTACAAGTTTCAGTTCTAACGTTTTAACATTAGCAACGTTTAAATTAATAATTATAATGACCCTTAAAAAATTTTAAATAGATAGTAATTGAGTAAAAAGATCATTTGAAATATATATATTTATCACATATATATAGAACCGTTTTTTAGAAAGGTTCTAAATTTTCCTTTTCCCTCTACAATTAGTTTCTTCAAGGAAATAATTCTGATTCCACAATACGTTAGCTAGAGTGCTCGTCGTGTTAGAACTAATCATGCAGACAAAGGGTAAAATCGTTCTAATCAATCAAATCACTACACGATTTCCCCCAGTACACTGTGTCTTTCTGATCGCGAAATATCTTAAGTTGGCGCGTGAAGAGTAGTGGAACGTGAAATGAACAAATATATTGTGTTCACAGCGTTAATGAAGGATTCACGTGCTATACGATCAACATAATTCAACATGCGAGCAACTTGGCTGTTCTTGTTGTATACTTACTGAGTAAGGGGTATGTTATCCCTGTCTGCGTACGCGTCATACAAATATTCACTGGAACGGAGCGTGTTAGCGGTTAGATTCCAACAACCATTCCACACATTAGACAGCTACTTTTAATTTAATATGAACTACTGCATTGGTACAATGAAGAAAATTCGATCGTCTTATATAAATTTACAAATTAACATGGAAGTACGCGGGCTGAAAATCATAGTGATGTAAGGTGCAAGTCAAGATTTTGAGAATTCGTACTTAGTTATGTATTTCAAATTTTGAAAATATTATCCCATTAGTCTGACAATTACTCGATATGTTTTCACGGTTCGACAAAATATATATAATTTTTTATAATAATAAATGCAGATGGACTCACTTAAGTACATCACAGCGATTCTTAGCTCTTCGACGTATAAATTGAAATTATCGGCCTAAGAATTCATAAACTTCAAACTATTTATGTATTTAGTTAATTTGCAAGGTAAATCTAGACTTTTTTATGTAGGTAATTAGTCAGAAAAATATAGAACAATAAATTTAGAAATATATTGAAGATATCGGACGATCGAATAATTTTCACGAAGGACAGAGTTTTTGAGCCAAACATTATTATTCTCCTCTTTCGTGATACGTTCTTGCGAAAAGAAGACATGTACGATAAACGCGACAAAAATCAGAAAACGATTAGTTGATAGCTCACGACACACCGAGATAGAATTGAGAATAAAGGCGGTGAGCTTACAAGGAATAACGCGTATCGATTTGAGAATTGGCGATGCAATTTTGAGACTCGCTAAACAAAGTGGTAGGATGGTTCATGCCGAGTAGAAAATATCGATAAGAAAGATATCGCAAGCGCGAATATGTGCATGCTGAGGATAATATGGAAGCTCGATTAACTACCAGACTGAGACAGAAGGCTGTCAACACTTTCTACATAGAGGGTGCTCAGAATCTGCTGGCCAGAAATTAGCGAAGAAAATCATAGAAGCGATTGTTTTCAAGTGGATGTATTGTTGTTTCTAATTTTCCTAATATTTCTTCGGAATAATCAAGCCAATTGGTTATCCCTAAACTAAATTTTTGAACGAACTGCAATTTCTTCTGTTCCTTTTCGATTTAACGAATGATATGAAATAATCCCGATCTCACAACAAAGGACAGTTTGGGAATTTAAAATCGACATGCACCGGATATCTAATTATATTTTGGAAACATTTAATAGCGTTGAATCTATTAATTGGGTTTGAACGATATAGAATGAGAGAAACTTACGCTTCGACTAGAGGTCCTGGATAGGGATCCGATTTTTGGTACAGCGCGCTCAGTTTCACGCAAAGTACTATGGTTGGGATGAAGAGAATTAGACACCAGCCCACACTCACCCAGAAACCATTCTGTGGATTACGAGTAGAAGTATGATACATTGTAATTTTTGCAATTTATAAGAATGATTATATACAGAAAAAAGTTGATCAATTGCTTACGAATGGATCTAGAACCCGGTTGCATCCTGCGACTAGCGTTGCATTATACGCGTTGGAGACTGGAGCACATCTTCCTACGTCCATCAGCGCGTGACGGATAACTAGCTCGAGGAAGTCGTCAACTTGACGAAGGAAAGCGTTTCCAAATTTGGTTGCCAGCTATAATAAAAAAAAGCGAATTGTGACGCAGTTACTTTGAAATTACTATCTAAATATTTTGAAATATTTCCTACATTTGATTGTAACTTAAAAGATAAAAATAAATAATTGTTCAGTTATACTGTGTACTTTCATTTCCTACACTATCACTGTGATTATTCTGAAAATGCTTAAGATTCTTAAGATGTCTACTTTTAACAAAGTAAAAAACTTAATATTTGATGATGGACAATATGTGATTATAAATTTAGAAGTCTATCCATCTTTTAATGAAAAATGCTTCAATACTTTCTCTTTCCACGAGCTTATTCTAAAGCTGAATGATATTCTTCCATATTTTTTCGCGGATATCCGTCAACTTTAATGTCTTTCCAAATATTGTTAGTAATTTTAATTGACGAAGAGATATTTAAAACCTACTTGTTGCACGTATTCTGGCCCGTCTTTATTTAAAAACTGCTGCGCCTTCGTCACTTCGTTAACCAGATTATGAATAGCTTCTGCCATCGAACTGTGGTTAAACTTTATCTTCTCCTCGAGTGTCACAGCCTTTGTAACCAACTGTTCGCTAAGCATTCCCATGGGTTTCACCAACTGGTCATGATAATATGCCAGATCCATTGCGTTTTTCTCCAAACTGACACGAATGTCCTCTTGCCCCTTGGGCAATTCAGCTGACACATCCAACAGTTGTTTCGCTAGATGTTCCAGGTTGATGTTCGTGATATTATCTGCGAGGATCTCCACATACTGATAGAACTTGATGTCACTGAGACCACTTTGCGCAAGGTCGTTTAATTTCGACTTTGCACTATCCGTGAGGATCACCACACCAGGTGAGAGACTGATTTTGCGTCGTAATTGTTGGATTGTGTTGTTGATGTCGTAACGGCCGGCGTATTCGCGTAACGAGCCTATGTCGAAGATGTTGCCTACCTTCAGTACATTGTACAATGTTTCGTTTCGATGGCAGTGTCTGTCATGAAGAAACAATGGAACTGTTTTTATCTTTGGTAATGTGAGAGACGGGGAAATGCAAATAGCGGTTAATAAGCATCTTCGATCGTAGATAATCTTTTATAATCTTCATAATTTTTTAATAATTTTTTAATAATTTTTTAATAATTTTTTACTATACACTTACGTGATTATGTAGCTCATATTCACGTCAGCATTAGGATTCTGTGGATACAGCTTCTTTTTGATTTGCACAATTTCATCAACTAGGGCGAACATCCTATTATCCTGCGGATTCTTCAAAGGTTCACATACAGCTCTTTGAACAAGAACACCAATGACCATGTGTGCTACGGTTATCACCATTAGAACGCTCGTTAAGAGGAAAATTATCCAAACAGCCCTGGAAAAATTCCGCAAAATGTTACCGATATCTCGAATCACCAAATGATACAACAATTTTAGCAATGTTTTTAAAAGCTTACATCATAAGAAATCGTGCCCCAGATCCTTTGTTACAGCAATCGTCCCCATATCCATCAGGTCGCTTTCCGCAAATGCCACAGAAGAGACCGAAAGTCAGACACATTAAAACTGTTAGTAGAATTCCTGATATTCCAAGACCAAGATAGTATCTGGAAAAAATACACATGTTAGAGAGAGAGAGAGAGAGAGAGAGAGAGAAAGAGGGGGGGGGAATAACTAATCTATACCGAATATTTGAGTATTTTTCAGAGAGAAATATTCACATATTGGGATAAGATATAATAGAAATGTTCAAATACTCGAACAAAATAGAACAGAAATATGCAAATATTCGAGGAGGGCAGAAACGACTCGGACGAAATGTACAATACAAATAAAATGTTTTTCATTGTTTCTCACCTGTACGGTATATACTGATCCACGTGCTTCCATGCATGATCTACACCCTTCATGTCCTCGTTTATCTCAACACCTATCCTATCAAGGAGCACTGTCATATTCTTCGCCAAAGCATCCATATGTACGCTGACTCTTCTAATACTCGCGCTCACGACAGGAATGGTCTGGTTCACAGCGTGTTGAATGTCTTTCTGAATCTTCAAGAACGACTCTTTGCCCTGGCTCACTTCCGACACGATGTTGCCTTTCATCAGCATCGTGATGTTGTTCAAAGCGGATGTGACGTTTGGCAACTGGAAAAAATCATGTACGATCGTTCGATATAAATGATCAAAATAAAAATAAGATTGTTCGTATCTATCGGAAAAAGAACGATTACGCCTGAGATGACACATTAAATGAGAACATTGTAGAACAGTCAGAGTATCGATATGGAGAGTGTCATGCTTGTGTCTATTTAAATGGCCAATCCCCAGGTATGTTAATGTTAACGGTATGTTAGAGAAAAAGAGAGAGAAAGAGAGAAAGAGAGAAAGAGAGTGTGTAACTGAAAAGTGCATTGAAATGTATCAAGTCTCTTAAAAGCTCTTTGTAGCAGACTGACGGAATGCATAAAGTGCTCAGCTGGAAACAAAGTACGTTTAAGATGTGTTCGACAGGTTTCAATTCAGAAAAACGTAGTAAGAGAAAACTCAGTGCAAAATGGGAAACGTTTCATTCCTTCTAGACATTTTCCGTGTGTGTTACACGCTTAATTAAATATGAGTTGTTTCTAAAAAATGTAAGTCTCCTTTCCTCGTGGCTAGGTTTAAAGTAAGGACAATAATTCGAAATCATTCTAGACGTCACACACTTAACAGAGGTTGTCAATTAACGATACACATATCGAACGTTTACACATAATCGAAAGTTGATCATGCTTTAGCTTATGACTTACAGACTGAAGCTATTTGGTGGTAAGCATGGAATCAGATAAGTTTACACAATAATTCTATTCGTAAACCAATGGCTGGACATCCATAAGATTAAGAAAACAAACTACGTCTGCTAGACCGCTAAATGTATAGTAACATCGCTCAGTTTTACTTTTACTAAAATTATTATTATATGAAAACAGAAAAATGATTGTCTAATTTCCATTGGTCTACTACTTGATTAGTACAGAAACACAAGCAAATCGGACAGGTTTATTAAGATTCATTTTCCTTTTTGTATAAAGTTACAGTATCAGCGAGACAAAAGATAAATAAATAAATAGGTAAATAAATAAATTAGAAAGTAAAAGACAAAAGAAAGTAGTGTATTACTATCGAATCGATGCAGAAATGATGTCACAACTTCTATCGCGGTTTAATGTGAATAAACCGAACGAGTAATAGTGGATTTTATAATAATCATCATACCTTCGGGAAGTATCGGTCCATGTACTGTATGCATGTAAAGAAAAAAGAAAATTAGATGCATGACGAAAAATGACGATTGACGAACAGATGCAACAAAAGCGGAGAATACCTTGTCGAATTCCACTTGAACCGACATTTGATTCACTTTGTAATCATGCAGCACCTGTTTGCAATTTTGCGTCTTGCAAGCCGCGAGCGTGTGAAGGAGATTGTTTTTAACACCTCGTACAACTGGAACGAATACAAAGTTTGCTAAGATATCGTTCTATTAAAATATTCACACCTTTGTTAAGTATTGAAACGCTTATAGGGAAACAAGGGCAGATCTGACCATATTAATAGGAAATTATTAAAATCTTTGAGAATTGTCGATTCATTTGGAAGTTTAGATTGTATAGAATTTCATATGATCCGAATAAATTACCCGGGAAGTATTGAAATATTTAGAATTTGGAAGTTTAAACTGTAAAGAATTCACATGTTCGCTATGCTAATAATAATTCCATCAATTATATAATGTAATAAATTTCTTTAATTATGTCTACTGTATATCGCGGTTGTGATTTAGTTAATTTTGATATTCGTATTATTAAATTTTCTACGATATTTGTATTAATATTGTAATTGGTAAGATATCTGTTGTGTCTATGATATTTATAACGTGTTATATTTTTTCTACTATAATCTATCATATTTTATATATTGTTATTTAAACGCACGTTGCAAATGATTATAAACTTGGCTATTTCGTTCATCTTCAATTCTTACAATTCCAATTTAAATTCGTTATCTTGTACAAATACAATTTGGATCGATCATCATGTTTTAAACGAGGTCAACAGATGTTTTAATATTTATAAATAGGATTGTACGATTGTAATTGAAGTACTCGGGATATTATCGATATTCCAACGATTAGATAAAGATAAAAAAAACGTCCGGTATCAAGATTACAATTTTTGAATAAAAATTTCTGAAAAGTCATTATTCAGATAAGAACCGAGGAAACTTCTCACATCAAGAAAATAAACAATATCTCGAGTAATAATTCCCTAGAACGGCAAGGTCATTAAATAAAAATCGAGAAGATTTCTGGCACCAAAAACATATAAATGAAATTTCCAACACGAATTTCCTAGAATACTACAAAAAATTAAATATCAACAATAGAATTCTCTATTGAGATTTCTCTAATATCTATGATATCAGAGGAATCCGTACCGATGTCCAGTTGACTAGCGTTGGTCCTTAGATCGCGGGTGATGGTCTGCATGATCTTCAGGTCCTCTTTAATGGACTCCAGGCCAGCGACAATGTCGCTTAGATTAGTCAACGAGACCGCGTGGGAGTATTCAGCGAGTTGTTCAGTGACGATTCTACCGCTGGCCTGAAGGATGTTGTTCAGATTAATTTCCAGCTCGTCGAAATTAGTCTTGAGAAGATTATCGATCGCCTCCTTTGTGCTGCTCAGATACAGCTTCACGTCTTTCAGGCTGATTTTCACATTGTTAGGAAACTCCTTGGTCCCATCCTGCATGTACTCGTTTGTTACAAAGGCGCAAACCACGCCAAACCTGAAAGTTACATCGAACCGTGGCTTCGTCGTGTTGTCTTTTATCGAGGGAATAAACAAATTGGAAAGCTCTCTCGATTGGGTTCGCTTCCATTACTCTTGATTGGATGTATTTATCTTTTTGTCGATACATTATTTATTGATACGGATATTCGTTTGAACATTCCTTTGAAATGCATATTGGCCAAATATAAAAGGAAATAAGTATATATATCAATTTATTTTAAATTTGCAAATTGGAGAGGGATTAATGAGAGGAAATATCGTTCGACTATTTATTTGGGTCAATGATTAACTGAAAACTCGAGAGTAATCCTCATTATCGAAAATCCATTTAACTTATTTAATGTTTGTTACCGTGTAATGCGATATTATTTGAAAATGGGGAGTAATTGAAATTAAATCGTGGATATTCGTGGAAATCCATATTTTTACGAAGATTTATTTCATCCATTAAGTATCGTGAAGACTATATCTTGAATATTTTTACGTGTAGAAACTTTTTCTGAATATATAGTCTGATTAAAATAAATCGTAAGAAAAAGAAGTACTTACAGAATAATAGTAGCGACCGCAATGAGCACCATGCTCAGCATCACTTTCCTACAATGATCGTGTTTCTTGTCAAAGGGTTGACTTCTGGCGCCACAATGACCAGCACACCTGCAGCAACAGAAGAACAAGCCTACGCAGGGTAAAATCGCAGCCAGGAGAAGTCCAACGAACGTTAGGCCAGCCAATCCACCGTAATGTGTCGCGACTATTTTCCATTGGGCCAAAGAATACTGGAACGTTGGTACACCATCCACAACAGTGAACATTCCTGCAACAAAGGAAGATCATTGTCACGTTGGTAGAGCTAAATATCCAGCAATAACAGATTTTGTTCTAAAACCTCTTATTTTAATTTGTTTCAAAACATCATATATAATAATTTTTTATAAAGAAGATCATTAGACCGAGTATTCATTTCTGCAATTTCTTATTTTTATAAATACAGTTGGAAAAATGGAAACCCAGCTGGAAATTTGTTCCACCCACTAAACCATCGTAACGACCGCTTTATTTTTGGTATTCTGTATAAATATTTTTAGGGAAGGAAAATTGAAGTACGGAGAGTAACAAGTAGAGTTATTGTTACTTAACGATTAAAAATATTTTAAAAGTTGTTATTTCTAATTATTTAAAAGTTTAGAATTTCAAAGACTGATGACTTTAACAGAGAATCTTAAAATTTATATGTCGATAGTGGATAAGGTAGAAGACACGAATTTGTTTCGAAAAAGGCTGAATGTCAGCTACAAGAATATGTAATAAAAAAATTTTTAAATGTCACCTGTACAGGATATTTTAAGATCATAGCGAGATTAAAAAAAGAAAAAAGGCACGGTATGCCCTTTCGATACCGTACGATTTCTGTCGCAAATATATTTTTTCTATCATCTCAAATAACAGAGTAACCAGGCATGGCAGAGTTAAATAGGACACCCGGTTATATACCTAAAATTATTTTTTACACGAAGATCGTTGCACATTATGCTAGTTTAAAAATAGCGCGTCATTGACGAAGAAAAAAAAAAGAAAAGGTGAAGCACGGAAGGAACGAACAATCGGTGAAAGGGAAGAGAAGAGGAGCAGGAGGAGCAGCGGAGAACAGACATTAAAGAGCATATTTTCCATCTGCAACCCCGATACCGCTTTTTAGGGCGAGAACAACGGAGAAAACGAGGACACGGTCGGATGTAGGACGTAGGTCAGGAAGGGTTGCCAGGTCGAAGGGTGAACGTAATGAGAACGGAGGGAGGGAAATTTATTTCCTAGTTACTCCTGGGAAAAATGGATCAAACGTCGATGACCGGTCGGCGATGGATTAAGACCCGTGGACCGCTGCATTGATTTTCCGATGCGCCATGCGGTAGACATTCTACAGGACACACATGACCGTCAAGGTTATCCTGCGCAACACGCATTCGTCAAACGATTAGTATAACCGTTCGAAAGAAATCCATGTATCCCTAGAAGCTTAGCTTTTGTTAATAAAAAATCTGTCTCTTTGTTTCTCTAAGCTTGTCTTTAAAAAATCAATTTCGAAGGAAAGGGGAAACTTGTGAATTTTGTGGAATGTAGCTTTATTTTACTATTTTTTATCTATTCGATTTAGCATTTCATATCTTGTGTATTTGTCCGTATATTTTCAGATTGGTTTCAAATACTATCGATATATAGTCGCATCTCGTTACGATGCTAGCGAAATCTTAAAATGTTTCATATAAGTAAATACAGTAAATTCGTGAAAAGATTCCGCAAGTGGATATTCTAGAAATGTGTTTCTGCGAGTTTGAAATATTTTCAAATTTTGAAGAAAGACGAGGAATAGGAAGAAAATTTTCCACGACACAATTGACAAGCATCTTGGCGAATGTTTATGTAATTACAGGAAACTTGAAGCTGCACATATGAAGAGAATGCATATTATTACATAAAAACATATAAAATATTCCAAATAAAACGGTCATTATGATATGTTCACTGAGTGAAATAAATCTCTATTTTTATTTTCATTTCTCCAGTTGCATTCGTAAAAATAAGAAAGATAATCTGCCACGAATGCAATCGTCCAGTTACTACGACATGTCGCCTTGAACATGTACTGTTAGAATCGAATGCACGGCATGGTCAGGTTAAACCGTTTCATGCAGCTTTTGCGGAGACTACGACCGCAATAAATCCACCGGTGCACATGAATTCGCGTGATTCCTCGATATGCCAAGCGGCAGCTTGCACCAGTAACTTTGCGATGCACTACGTTTAGAAACTAGTACCGACGTATTGATAAGGGTTCCTTTTGCATACGAATTGTTCCTGGCGTTTTACTAGCCGATTACCTCGAATCTCCATACCAAATATAAATCTTCGTTTCACTTTTTCTATTTCCGACCAACGAAATTAATATTGTAAAATATTGCGTACAACACACACACACACACACACACACACACACACACAGCGAATAAATATAAACTCAACTCTATTCTTAGATTTTTATATCATTATATTTGTATATTTTAGATTTTTCGTAATATTGAAACAAAAGTTGACGAAATGGTTTATGCAATTTCATATTATAGAAAAAAACCGAAGATACAAGGAACAAGAATGTTCCTCTTTCAAAGTGTGGAAAAAATTAAATTTCCTCTGAAAAATAGATTCTTGGATTTTCCTTTATCTTTGATTACATCTGTCAGGTATACTATACACAAACTTATGTGAAGCTTCGTGTTGAATATCCGCCCACACGGATTTTATCCTTTTTTTAGATTCAACGATATTTTCTGTAGCTGGCTTCTCTCGATCCATGAAGCATTTTTTGCTAGAATTCCCCACGGATTCTCGTTTGGGCTCAGATTAGGACTTAATGCTGACCATGGTAGTGGTTTTATTCCGAAATCTTGAAACTACATATTTATCGTGGCAGCTAGATGAATAGGAGCATTGTCTTGTTGAAAAATTATCTTTTTGATTCCTAGTTCAGATATGAAAGGCAATAATTCGCCGTGTAACATGTCCCTAACAACGACGACGGATATGCTTAAAGTATCATGTCAATTAAAACGATATTATTATATTATATCATACTATTATTATCTATATTTTATAATATTTATATGTTACTATGTTAAATTGAATTTCCTGTATTATTCATACGCTCGTATGGACACTGTATTCGCAAAAATATGAATTTATATAAAACTCGGCAGCCTAGTAAAACGTTAATAATATTCGTATCTAACATTTTATATATTTTATTTGCGATGAAATTAAAAATAAAAAACAACAGCTACAGCTCTTTATTATTTGCACGTGTGATGCACTGTGGGAATAAAAAATTTGGTATTTTATTCGAAGAAATATTATCCCTGCGATATAGTAACAATATCGATACAGGAGAGTAATGTTTAAATATCTTGAAAAGTGGGGCATTTTGTCAGATCGAAACGAGCCATGTAATTCGTGGCTCGAGCAGCAGTTCATTCATTTTTTCATTCTGCGGCTAGTTGATTTTAATTTACAGAGTCGAACTCGAAGTTTAATCGGTCGCAACGAAATATTTTCCACTGCGGTGCATCCAATCGGGAAAATTTATCCAAAAGAATTATTCAACTGGAAAAAAATAAACACAGTTACACTCGTTGCGAGCTTCCATTCCAACATTTAAACGCTAAATAAAATTAACCGGGCCGTAAAAGATTAAACAAAATTTTTTCCTAAAATCCCTACAGCAGTGCAAAAAAGTATACTTCTCTTCGTGTTACCATAGCTAAAGAAATATACATAGTAGTGATTGCAGTGTTTTGCCTTTTTATCGATGAGAAATCATTAAAAAGCGAACACTAATATTCGTATTTTTTCCGTTTTTCGTCATGTTAGCTATACTTTGTATTTTTTCAACAATAACAATGAGAATGATCTGCTTTCTACTTCCACTGTATGGTAGAGAATTATTCTGCATCAAAGGCCAAATAGAACCAATTGTGAGCTATCTACCAATATATCCACCAATCGAATTATTTCTGAAAATTTTTTCACACCTTGTTAATGATGTCGAGAAGCTCAAAGTTACCGAGGAATAGTATTTTCTATGATGATATATCATACATGATAATTAACATAATCGTACATGAAAAAGCCCTGAACGTATGCAAATGTCTTTTTATTTCTTTATCTGTTGTAACGTAAAGAGAAGTTGCGAAAAATTGTTCACACCGCTGTAGATATTTTGCGACAAACTTTTGATTAGTTTTTTACGGTTCTGTTAATCCTATTTAGCGAACAAATGTTGGAATGAAAGCTTGCAACCACTGTTACTACGTGTTCGCTTTTTCCTGGTTGAATAATTCTTTTGGTTAAATTATCCATACATCTTTTATACGTATTTTTCACGATGATTTTCATCTACGAAAATTGAAAAACCTCGGTTAGATTGTTTCAACGTCTGACGGAAAAGAGATTCAGTGGTGAACAGGGCAATTTAGTGGAGGTCAGTGCGAACCAATTCTACGAATTGTGGGACAGAGAGCTAGTCAGTGATAGTGAGTGATAATAGCGCGAGCAGTAAGAGCGTCGTTAACGCTTTTATATGCGAGTTTGTATCAGGGGAACGCAGGGAAGTGCTTGTTCTTGCAATCGTTCCTGGGGGAATAGTCGACGATGTGTGTTTCCGTTGAAAGTTTGCGACGTATAAAACCATCATAAATGAACGCATTTTTAAACATTAAGAAACTTATAGCAATTAGTATCCTCTTTTTTCTTTGTTAATTCCTAAATAGAGTTCATGGTATTTTGATAAGGATCTTTTACAAAGTGAATTTCATTGAGTCAAGTATCTGGCGATAAATATTTAAAAAATGTGTGAAATTATAAAGTTTAGAATATTTATGCCCCGAGCAGAGTTTAATATCTATCGATAAATACAAGATTTTTTGTAAAGAAAATTTCACTGAAACAAATACATCTTGTGATAGGTTTTTTAAAAATCTAAATGAAAAATTACAAAACTAATATTTGTTTTCCAGGATTTATTCCTTTATTTCCTAACATTATATATTCAGCAAATAATTTTTTGCACATTACCAAATAGTTCCTCAATATTTCTAAAAAAATTCTTTGAATAGTATCACTTTTGAAATGCATGTCTGGTATTTGTAACAATGTACCTATATGATCTAAAACATAAAATAAAATAAAATTCCTTCCAGTTTTCAAACAAATGTAACGAGTAAGTGTCTTGACTCAGCTTTGTTTATGGGCAACATTGCACATCCA